CCCAGTCTGGTGGCAGGCAAGATGGTGAGCCCCATCCCCAGTTGGCCACTTTCATGGAGGTCCAGCTGCCCCCAGTGGTCACTCTGCAGTATAGCTCTCCCCTGCACTTGCTGTCCCCAGTGGCCACTGTATCACAGACCTCCTCTCTGCTCCCTTTCTTTCCATGTTATGAAAAATGGTCCCATTACTCAGGTCCTTAGCTCAATTAATTTTTTTTTTTTTTTACACAAAATGAAAATGTACATGCTTCATTTAAATCACGGGTGGGAACCTTTTTTGGGTCAGGGACTACTGACCCACAGAAAAATCAATCACATAGGTGAGGGGGAAACCCCCCCCCCCCAAACCCTCTTACTGATGTGGCCCTTGACTGACAAGGAGAAAGACACTCCCCTCATACACCAAAGCCTCGAGGGGCCCAGCTGGGAAGATTTTATGTGCTCCAGCCCTGCAGTGGAACAGCGGGGGTCTGGAACGCCAGCACCAGCTCCCCAATGCTGGTGGTGGGCCCTGAGCCTCAGAGACCAGATCCAGTCAAGCTGGGGGCCACATGTGGCCCTCAGGCCTTAGGTTCCCCATCCCTGATTTAAATCTTTGCCCTGGGGTGGGGTTGAGGACAAGGAGTCCACTTTACAGACTGCCCCAGGGAGAGAGAACTACTTCAGCAACTCTTATTGCAGCAGCTTGGGCCCAAGTGAGAAGCACCTCTTAATGGCTACTGCATGTTCCTCAGCTGGACCAAGTCCAGGTTCATCTGCCCCCTGCACTCCTAGTCAGAATGAGGAAAGCAGCAAACTGTGCACTTTCCCCCCCGCTCCCTGATGAAGGGGACTAGCCAGCAATGTTTCCATACGAACTGGGGGAGGTGAAGAGCTTCAGTCTCCCCTCCTCCCTAAAGGGCACCTGCAGCTGAGAGGCTCGGGGCTCAGGCAGGCCCTTTTCACCCTCCTAGTGATGCAGTTTCTTTCCTTTATGGTTTTATGAAAACCAATCCCCTTCCAGGCACATCCCGTTTTCCTGGCACAACTGAACCCTTACTTTGCTTTAAGTTATAAAAGAAAGCTGTATACTAAATTTGGTGGTCTTAACTCTTACCGTTGAGGAGGTTTTTCTAGACAGACAAAAGGAGACACTCTCAAACTCACTCAGATACATAAGATTTGCATTTTTGCACATGAAATCCTAAGATACAAGAATCCATTTTAGAACTTCTCTTTCATCAATCTGAATTAAATTTTCAGTGACTACTGTATATTAAAGATTACCTTATTTTATATCAATATACCAACACCCTTAGCTGTGTGTTCATCTTTTTCACTCCTTTCTATCCACGATAAAAGCCTAAATGGCAAATTCATCTCTTCTCATTGCTGGTTATAATTTGGCCATTTTGAATGGAACACTGCTTTACATTCAGTCACATAAGTAGTGAGTTTTTTGCACGGCGTGACAACTCCTTTTTAAGTCATTGATATGCTATCTTGCCTTGGGCAAGTCAACTTCTTCAAAACCATTCCATGGCCTCATCTGTAAATGGAGAAAAATATTAACCTCCTCTGTCAAAATAGGTGAGAGCACACGGATTGCATATCTCTCTGTAAGTGTTGAGTATTTAGCTCTTTTAGTCCTCATGCTGCTTCACTTGGTTTAGTTTTGATCATCCTCCTCTCTAATCTGATAGGCACAAATACCTCCAGCCTACATTTATGTTCTGCTTTCTTGATGGTATTTCCAAACTTCCTTGATAGTTTCAGTCTTTAGCTTTTTGTAAATAAGGACTAAGTCTTATATGGGCTTTTTAAAACAGAGAACATGCTTGCACGTCTGAATGCAGCACAGGTTCCATGAAATGAGTCACAAAGCTTTGATTCACCTTTTCACCCTAATATTCTTGCTTTAATTTCTTGATTTATGTTTTTACAGTCTCCATATTCATCCTGATTTTAATATTCAGCTCTTCAGTGATTATTTCAACTATGACTGTCATCTCCCAGTTCTTCACTTTATATTAATGGCCTTTTTTTCTCATTCAAATTTCCTAAAGGTAATTCTCAAGGCAAGATTTTGGAAAGAACACTACCTACCTTTACAGTACAATTAAGCCCCTGTAAACAGAGATTCAGCCTTAAACCAGAATTTCTTTGGTTTTTGCATCTTTAAAATGAGAACTTACTGTCAACTGAATTTCAATTCTTACAGTTTAAAATACAATTAAGATACTAGATTAAGTCTAATTTCAGAGAAGCACCATATTTGGGATAGCATAACATTAACCAAATAATCCTTTAAAGGCAATGGGAATAAAAAGTCAACAGTACATGGGTGTTTTGTTTAAAAAAAAAACCCAACAACATATGACATGTTGGAGAGCAATGAAATCTGGCTGATAACTATACTCCAGTGAAATGTCTCATAGTGTAAAATGCTCTACCTCCTATGCATATGTGGTGGGTTTTTTAGCACTTGTGTGACATGCTTCAGTTGGCACAAGACCAAGATTAATCACCGAATTTCATCCAGTGGTTGGATCATTAGCTTCCCTAGCTTGAGCTGGTACTGACAGGATTCCAATATGTGTGAAAAGATAAATGGTATTTTATGCTAATTAAAATGAACAATGATCATTACAAATGTAAAGTACTCGAGCCAGGAGTCAATTAACTAGTTCTAGGAAGCTCTTCCAGCACAAACTACATTTACCATTTTTTCAAAGAAAATTTGAGGCCAACTTTCTTCTGTTCTGTATTTTGTTGAAGCAATATATTCATTGACACTTGATAATTTTAGGACTTGATGCTTTTTTATTTGAAGACTCAGTATAGTGAAGGAATTATCTCTATCAACAGACATTTATGTTAGGACAGGTCAAAAGTAAACAACGAAACCATCCCAATCTTTTTAAAAGACGGCGATGAGTGGGATGAAGTGGGTGGCTAATGTCAGGTGCCCCTAAGGGAACAAACAGAACAGGTAATCATCAAGTGATCTATCTCCTGTTACCCATTCCCAGCATCTGACAGACAGAGCCTAGGGATACCATTCTGCCCATCATGGGCTACGTCTACACTGTCGCCTTCTTCCGGAAAAGCTTATGCAAATGAAGTGCAGAGTGGAATATCGCCATGCTTCATTTGCATAATTAATTAGCAGCTGTTTTTGCAAGAGGCTTTTGCACAAAAACAGCTGCTAATTAATTATGCAAATCAAGCATGGCAATATTCCACTCTGCACTTCATTTGCGTAAGCTTTTCCGGAAGGCTACAGTGTAGACGTAGCCATGGCTAATAGACACTGAGGAGCTATTCTCCATGAATTTATCTAGTTTTTAAAAAAATAATTGGTTATAGTCATTGGGTACGTCTAGACTACATGCCTCTGTCGCCAGAGGCATATAGATTAGGCTACCAGACATAGTAAAATGGAGGCATACCTGGGTGGTCGACAAATACCTTTGACGTCGACCCCCGCGCGTCCAGACTATCGCCCTGAGCAGACAAACAGCTGATCAGCTGTTTGTCGGCTCAGCGCGGCAGCCCTGTAAATTTAAATGAAGTGGCAATTATTTAAATCGCCGCTTCATTTTCCTATGTCTGGTAGCCTAATCTACATGCCTCTGGCGACAGAGGCATGTAGTCTAGACGTACCCTTAGACTTCACAACATTCTCCAACAAGGAATTACACTGGTTGACTGTGCAATGTGCGACATATTTCCTTTTGTTTGTTTAGAACCTGCTACTTATTCATTTCATATGGTGACCCCTAGCCCAAAGGAATAAATAATTCTTTATTCACTTTTTCCACACCAGTCGTGAATTTATAAACCCTTATATCCCCCACTTAGTCGTCTCTTTTCCAAGCTGAAGAGTCCCAGTCTTCTTAGTCACTAATCATAAGACATCCATTTCATACCCCTAATCATTTTTGTTGCTCTTTTCTAAGCTGCTTCCAATGCCAAGGTATCTTTTTTAGATTAAATGACCACATCTGCATGCACTATTCAAGATGTGAGCATACCATGGATTTATATAGAATATTAAATATTGTTTTGTTTTTAATGATTCCTAACATTGTTTACTTTGACAGGTACTGCACCCTGAGTGGATGCTTTCAGAGAACTATCCACAATGACTCCAAGATCTCTTTCTTGAATGGTAACAGCTAATTTAGTTCCTATCATTTTATACATATAGTTGTGTTTTCCAATATGCATTATTTTGCATTTATCAACATTAAAATTAATCTGTTACTGTAATGCCCACTCACCTAGCTTTTGCAAGCTCCTTTTGAAGTTCTTCCCAGTCTGATTTGGACTTAACTATCTGCAAATGTTGCCCTTTTTCCAGATCATTTATGAATATATTGAATAGGATTGGTCCAAGCATGGAGCCCGGGGGGGACACCACTCGTTACCTCTCTCAATTCTGGAAAGTGACCATTCATTCCTATCCTTTGTTTCCTAAGTACACTATATGCACTAGATTCCCCCTTGTCCACCTGCTTGTTGACTGCCTCAAAGCCACAAAAGCCCATTTACAAAGCATCCCAGATCACCACAAGCACATAACCCAATGTTTTAAACTCTGCCCTAGCATGCAATAAATAGATTTCAATTCAAGGTCAACTTTTCCCTCCCATTCATGACTTTTTACAGAAATGTTCACTGCAACAACAAAACTCTCACCCAGAAGCAGACTGATGAGCACTGTTCTCTCAGGAATTGGGCACCACAACCATGTAATTCACTCCTAGCAGAGAACTAAGCTAACTAATACTGGTTTGTGTGATCTAGGTTAAAAGGTGTAGTAGTCTGTCTAATCAAGGGGTGACTCAGGTAATTCAACGGTAGACGTTAAGGGAAATAATGACAGGGTTCTTAAAGGGCCCCATGTAGTTATTCTTCAAAAGGTACCACTGAAATGAGTTCCAAATGGGAAATCCTCAGGGCTCCAAAGGGATACAGTGGATCCCAGAGTGTGAAGAAAAGCATACACCTGCAATGTAGTATTCATTCATCTCAAAATTAGGCATTTTATTACACGCCTCCCCCCACTTTTCAATTTTCGGCACCTCTGCCAGTGCGCACAAAGGCTGTTCCAGTAATTTCCTAGCTATATGTAAAGGTACACTAGCTATTTTCCACAAGAGTGGGTTATTTTCAATTAAAATCAGTTTAATGGATTTCTTTAAGCTCTAGCATTTCAGCAGCAAATCAAAAGTGGTCAACAGTTTTTGGATACAGTGGAAAAAAAGATAGTTAGTAAGTCTACATAGCCCATATAGTTTGCTGATTTTCAAACACTGGTAAGCAATGTTACAATGACCAAATAGCAAGAACTAAAGAGAGTCTCTTTCGTGCATGAATCAGTAAGTCAGATTACAAACTTACCAAAACATTTTTATTCCAGATTCTTACTAGTCTTTCCAATTTTTAACCACATTTGCTATTTCAAAAGTCGATGCTTTATACAACAATATGTGGATTTTCAGTAACTAAATGATTGGCAGTGAAAAAAACATAGGGCACAACTGTAAATTCAGCGCAGTTGCAACTTGTAAATGTTTTTCATTCATGCCCCTTGGAAATGCTCTGCAAAGCTGAAAGGTTGCTTCCAAGTCTCTTTTCTTTGCTCACTGGGCCAGAAGAGGCATTGGAAGGGCAGTTTGCTCAGATTGTATTGTGTGAAAACATTTCATGAACCATCGGTAGAAGGCTGGAGCAGCCATGAGATGAAGCGAGTCTCGTCTAGAATGAGCAGGAAAAGGGGAGGGGAAGATGAGAATCCTAAGGGCTTTATCAAAGTCTTCAAAGATCTTCCTCAATACTATAAGCTTCTATGTTGGCTACCAACTGCTTCAGGACAACAAATGTAAGGCTCTCTAAAGTAGCAGCTGCAGCAACAACACATTCCTCAGCAGATATTACTGAGAGAAGGAAATGACACACGAGGGAACATTTCCTCTTTTATACGGTTTTATTTTGTAGTAAGATCCATGTATTATATAAAATATAACAGGAAAACTGAACAAGTCTATAAAATAAATTGAGTCTAGATGACAAACCACAAGAGCTCTGCTTTTGCAGTTTATGTTGATGTCACTAGAACTCTCATGTACTGATAGCCTTGTATTTTACAGTTATCTAGTGTATGAACCTACACAGAAAGCTGATATGTCTCAGAATTAAGCTATAATTAAGGTGACAGATGTAGAGAAAAATGGCTTTCCTAAGCCACAGCTGCCCTTGACACAAACAGTGATGACAACTATGTTGTGATGCAAGTTACATCAAGCACCTTCCAAGAGCCTCTGACAAAGGGATTCACACTGAGCATTTTGAAGGAAGGTTCAGAAAATACTGCAGTGTACCAGTGATTCCTCCAAACTCCTGTGAATGCCTATTGTAGGTTTGTGGGTTTTAATAATATACTGTAAGCATGACACCAAACCTAGGAGGTAGGTTATAGGAAAAGTTAGGTAAGCCAAAAAAAATCCCTTTAGATTTAGAGTCACTGAACTGCCAAGCAGGAGGCTACAGCAATATAATCAATGACCTCTTTCTCTCACACTAAAAATCATCTGTACCAAACTCCTAATTTCTAGTGCCCTTGAGAATGACGTTGTCTTGTCCACTTCTAGTAGTTGCACTTACGGCACTGGAACAGCTCAAAATCCTTTAAGCAACAGTATGTTACTGTGCAAAACTGATGCAGCAGACTGTTACCAACTAGACATCCAAATTCAAGAATTGACTCAATCTAGCTCTTCTCTTAACATTAGCAAATAATATTCCTGGGAAGTACTCCCACAATCAAGAGGAGAACATTCTGCTTAGTCTATGTGGAATAGGTTGAACAAACATCAGCTCTATAATAAAGGATTTGAAATTAAGGCTAACAGTTGGCTAAGGTTAAGGAAGGAGTAGAGGAAGACAGTGAGAGAAAGGAATTTTAGAAAGGGAAAAAAGCAAGCTCTTCTAGGTCTGATTTCTTAAAATGTTACCATACCAAGCAGGCTGTAGATATCCTGTCTTTGGTATCATTTGGAATCAACATGAAGTTGATTGCAAATAGCATGTGAACATTTTCAACATGGAAGAGATACATATTAGCAAATGCAATCATTAACACAGCAAATTAAACCCAAGTCTTAATGAAAGACTGCCTCAAGCTAATGAAATGTGGACATGTAAGACTTGCATTTTTCACCACTTTCTGTGCACAATTTAGTGGAAATAAAAAGTAACAATTGTAAAGATCTGTTTTACTTCTATTTCTGAAGGCAAAAGGAAGGGTAAGTAGAAATGTTCTCCAATTTGTTCTCCACAATATGTACACCCACACCATACACATACGCACATGCACGCACCCTCAAACTGCACTGACATCTCTTATTTTTTGACCAAAAAAGCAGATCCTGGGAGTAAGTGCAAAATGCAAAATCAACTGACAGAAAATGCTGAACAAACAGCATAATTAAAATACAAAATATTTATATTAATGAACTATTAACAGGTGATGTTCTCTGTTTCTGTAAAACTTTGGAACCACATAGCTGATTTCTTAAATCTAGTCCATGCCAGCTTCCAGAACTATTAATGATTTAATTAGCTTCATTCTTTGATGCTTCATCAAAGTTTTCTACGAGATCTGAAAGAGATGGAATAGCTATTAATTTTACATAATGATTACATTTTTTTTACCTATATATTTGCAAAAGGAGTATCATTTGCATAGATGAAGAACTTGAGGCATAGGAAGGTTAATATCTAAATCTCTAAAACATCCACTAATTTTGGAAGCTCAACATGAGATACTTAGATCTGATTTTCAGAGCCTTGAATGGTGACAAGGTGCCACAGAACTCCTGCTTGGTTTTGCTGCTTTTCAGTGGGGTTATTGATGACTTCACCTGGATTGAGTGCTTAACACCTTTTAAAATTAGGATCTAGGTGTGAAGTTGGGTAGAAACTTTAGAACACATCAAAAGGACCTTCAAAGTTACACAGCATGTCAACTCTCCTGACTACCTCTTCAGTGCCTTAGCTAATATACTATGCCAATGCATAGAGAAGATCATTGTGTTAAAAACAAATGAACAATTTCCAACAACTCAAAAGAACAAGGCTGAAAAGCAGCAGCACATGACTATACATTCCCAGGTAAAGATTCTATTTTTTTTTCTTTGAGAATTTTCAGAACTTGGCAGTAGGTAAAGCTCAATATCTATTTATACAGAAAGAAGCATGTATTTAAACAGTGTAATCTGAAAAGATAATCCAATTTAGTTAAATACCTGCATTTTAACATCCCTAATTCGAGTAGTCGATAGAATTTTTATGACTTCTCAATGAATTCACAGGCAGCCTGACTCAGTTTCAGCTCACAGCGGGTGTGGGACCAAACCCTACTGCATTTCTGCAATTTAAAAAGCACTAGGAGCTGGGCAGCCTGCCCCCAGCTCCTACTGCATTTTAAATTGCAGAAATGCAACGGGGTTTTGTCCTGCACTTGGTGCAAGCTGTAACTCAGCCAGCCTGTGACTTCTCAATGAATTCACAGGCAGCCTGACTCAGTTTCAGCTCACAGCGGGTGTGGGACCAAACCCTACTGCATTTCTGCAATTTAAAAAGCACTAGGAGCTGGGCAGCCTGCCCCCAGCTCCTACTGCATTTTAAATTGCAGAAATGCAACGGGGTTTTGTCCTGCACTTGGTGCAAGCTGTAACTCAGCCAGCCTGCTC